CTCCGGAGCGACCACGCAATACAGCTGGAGAAGAGCTTGAAGATCTCGGGGTGGCTGTGGATCCCACCCATGCTACCGGAGGACATGATGCACCCAATTGGAGCAAAGTTAAAAGCTCCGTCATTCTTCTTGGGGCAACTGTCCTCTACGCGGTGATTGCTGAGATTCTTGTCAACACAGTTGATGTTGTGCTAGAGAGCGTGGATATAGATGAGAAGTTCCTTGGCATTACTCTTTTCGCGTTGGTGCCAAACACGACGGAGTTCCTGGTACGTTGGTTATGAAAAGCTCCCTATCTGAGGCGATTTTGCATTTTATATTGTTTACTAACTCACCCAACAGAATGCCATCTCATTTGCCATGAACGGAAATATTGCATTGTCTATGGAAATTGGATCTGCCTACGCACTGCAGGTCTGTCTATTGCAGATTCCCGCTGTAGTATTCTTCAGCGCTTTCTATGGCCGCTCGCTTGACCCGTCTGAGCTTGTCAGCCACTCATTCAAGTAAGATCGCTTTTTTTTCCCTTTTCATTCTGTCTCCAACCGAAGTGCTTCGGCTAACAAAATACTTCAACAGCCTGATATTCCCCCAGTGGGATATGATCACCGTTATTCTGTGCGTCTTCCTTCTCTCGCATGTATACGGTGAAGGAAAGAGCAACTACTTCAAGGGATCCATCCTTGTACTCACCTACCTCGTCGTTGTGCTTGGTTTCCATATGTCGGGGTATGTGAATATGAACAGCATGGGCGTGGATCGCTTTGATACCCTAGCCATAGGCGGCAGTAGTTCTGAGAAGTTCTACACTATCGGCCGGAAAAGGGGCGGGGTGGCCTACTAGACAAAGTACATACTTATCTTGACTGGTGATAGTGGCTTTTAGCTCAAGTCATTCATTGACTTGTCTGGACTAATGTTGCATAGCGAGCTTCTTTGGTTTTGCTTTTCTTTTTTTTTTTTAGATTTTTCTGTTGATATGCTTGACGTTTATATGGAGTGTGACTTGTCTTCTTTACTTTCCTGACCCTGAGCTCTATAACTCAATGCATTAGGCATCAATTGATGGTTTTGCAATAATTACATATATGATTTTGAGATCTTTGTCTAGCTTCATTCATACTTTTTACCTATTATGCGGTAATGACTGATGCCAAGTATACGCGAACAAAATAATATGTGAACAGTGACCAACATTCCAGTACCCATGTCCTTCTTTCCTGTTTTTTTGTGAAGGAAAGGAAAAATCGTTATGATCGTCATATCAAATTAGGTGGACTTGGACTTCCAGTCCCCCACGGCGACATCCACCATCCCACGATATTTCTGTTGCTTGAAACACTGTTCCAGAAAGACCTCATACTTAACACCGAGCAAGGCTTTCTCATTTTTATCTTCTGTCGGCAACACCTTCTTGCCAGGCTTGCTCATCCGATCCATGATATCCCATAAATCTTCGGTTTTGCCTTGGGAATCAGCGCTGGCAGCCTTAGCACCGAGCATAGCAGCACCGTGGCATACCGCAGCGTGAATGTACCGAGGAATCAGTACAGGCATGTCACAGGCAGATGCAACGAGGTTGACCAGGATCTCGTTCTGACATTGTGAGCCAGACATGAACACCGAAGTGATGCGGTGGCCTGCCTTGTTCATTGTCTCCACGATCTGCTTAGTTTGCAGCGCAATAAACTCCATGGTGGCGTAGTAGTAAATGGCAAGACCATCCACAGATTTGTCACTGGTCAGGCCAAAGATGGATCCAGTCATGTTGGGATCGGCAATAGGAGAGCGGTTGCCCCATAGATCACCATAGAAGAAGAAGTGGCGTCCGAGATAAGATACGCACGGGGCTCCTTGGCCATGTGCCATCTCTTTGAGATGCTCGTTCAGATATTCGTAGATGTTGGCATGGTATGACTCGGCAATCGAAGTAGCCTGGTTGAATGCTGGGTGAGTCTCAATTACATGCTTCAGCAATTCTCCTGTAGCAGATTGCCCACCCTCGGCCATCCAGTATCCGGGGAGAATGGTATCCCGATATGGACCCCAGACACCGTCAACAAATACCGGGTCTGGTGACATGGCAAGGTGACATGTCGAGGTTCCTGCGACAGCCGCGAGGCGAGAGAAGGCCTCTGATCTATCAAGTTTGGAGACATCTGCGCTAGATTGACCTGGGTCCAGATCGACCTTGGATCCGACGGTACCGATCCAGCCAGCGTAGGCATCGATCACACCACTGCCAATGGCAATACCAGCCGGCAGACCTAGTTCGGCTGCAGCCTTGTCGCAGAGAGTGCCAACCAACTCACCGGCACTCAAATAATCACCATTCTGTGTCACACCGGAAGTCAGTCAACTGCGTCATTGTAATTAGGGAAAGGCTCACCACCCCGTCGACTCCGCCCATGCGCTTGAAGTTATCTTCAGTCAGGTCACCTAGACCAATATCCTGCAAGAAATCTTCTTGCCATCCCTTGACGCTCCCATCGACACCAACGGGTACGTATCCTTGCTTGCAGACCACGCTGCAGAAACTTCGCTTTTCGTTGCCCGTAGCAATGTGCGTAAGGGCATCCCCCAGATCATAGAACTTGCATTTGTCAAAGAGCTCCTTGGGCATGTGGTTCTTCAGCCAAAGAACCTTTGGGATCTCCATCTCAATGGACATCTTTCCGCCGACATAGCGGAGCAGGTTGTGGTTGGTGGCATTGATCTTCGCGGCTTCCTCTACTGGGCGGTGATCCAGCCACAAGATCACGTTGCGGTCCGAGTCGAAGTTCGGGCCCGTCACCGAAATCGGCTCGTCAGTATCATTGGAGAAAACCGACAACGAGCAGGTGGCGTCAAACCCGATACCGCGAACCGTGTCAGGGTTGATATTGTGCTGGCTAATAGCGCGCTGAACGGCGACACAAATGCAATGCCAGATATCGGAGGTAGATTGTTCCTAGAGGCTAGGTAAGACTGATTTGGCACCCGAGTTGCTCGCGCTTTTACCCACATAGTAACCGTGCTCTGGTTGCCAAAGACCAATGTTTTCTGAGGCCAACCCCACAATATCACCTTTGGCGTCAACTATGCAAGCACGCGCGCTTCCAGTTCCGACATCGATTCCAATGTAGTGGTCAAGATGAACTGCCAGATCCTCCCGAGGGTCACTGGATGCTTTCCGGGAGCTCTGTTGGGAGGGTCGGTAGGGCAGCGAGGCCATGTTGTCGTGGGAGCTCTTTACCTTTTTGACTTGACAGCTGTGGGTGGAGCTATAGGTTGCTACTAACCATACATTAGCGAGTCACGGAACACAGAATACAGGCTAGTCGAAGCAGACTTACTGTTAATGTGTATATTGGGATTGAGCAGATGTGCAAGAGAATTGAAAGTGAACTGCGAGAGGAGAATAAGGTATGACAGCATGAATTTGCCCGACCCCGGACGGAGCAGTGCTACCCGGTACCTTTGGGCGCAGTTTGTAGTACTTTGTTGATACCTGGCTGTTCCGCTATTCCACTACGATAGCCAGGGTACTTGTCATGTACCATACATCTGCAAGTAAAGTATACCTGTTCTCTATATTATACGTACTCTGCTTTTACATCAATATATACCTGTGTATGTATATATCTGTATGATTTTAAAATAATCTATAGCAAGTATCAGCTAATATATAACCTAAGGTACACGTGTATGTTTTCATCAATATATGCATGTATTGTATGTACATGTATGTAATCATGTGGGGTTGGAGCTCAGACTTTCTCCAAAACGTTGACATCTCGCGTCTCTTGCCTCCTCATATTTCGATTCACCATGCAGTTTCTACCCACCATTCTTATCGCTGTGTCGCTCCTCATTTCTGTCGCCAATGCCTCCCTCTCGACTGACATCCTATATTGGCCCTTAGGATCGCCACAACCGTCCGTCCTCGCGCGTGTCTCCTACGACCCAGCCTCATTGAAATCAAACGTGGTCTCATATTACCCCCCAAAGGATGACCAGACTGATAGTCTAATTCGCGTCGGGCTCTACATTTCAACCCCCATAAACAAAAAGCAATGGGTCGGCAGTCTGGTGTCATTGACCTCTTTAACGACCAGTGAACAACCAACATTTCGCCTTCACCTCGGTCCGGCCAACGAAGTCTACACTGTCTCCCTATCTGCGTCGTCTACCAGCACTCAAGGCTCAACACCTGGCCCTCGAATTGACCTCGTCTCGAACGAATCCGGGACGCAGCCTCACCTAAACAGGCCAGTGATTGTCGGGCCCGATGGGCAACACCCAGAGCAACCCGAAGAAAAGTCTCTTTTGCAAAAGTAGGTTGCGGATAGCTGTTTATTGTTCCTTTGTTTCTTTCGTGCTAATTAATGATCTAGATACTGGTGGGTTCTTCTGATCATCACTTTCATCAGCATGTCTGGGGGTGGCGGAGAAGGACAGTAATATTCGACTTCTTATCATATTATTATCGAAATAGTACTTTGAACTATGTTGGTCCCGTTGCTATCTTGAATATGTAGGCCAGTTGCGTATTTGCGCACACAGTTTCAACTAGAAGTCTATCCAAGGCACTTATCCAGCTATCCGCTTTACAAAGACCACTTTCGGCTGGAATAAACCAAGTCTAAATGATAGTATATCCTATATAGAATCTGTGTACCTGCAGGAACCTACATACGTATATGTATGTATGTAGTAGTACCGGATTTTTGGCGGTCGCGATTTTCCTTTATAAGAGGCTGAGCACTCCGTGGACTTGTGCGCGGTATAGATAAATACATAGTTAACTAGTACATATGTAGATATAGGAAGAGAACAAAACATATGATCAACTTGAAACGTTCACGTAAATGAGGAAAAGCTAAAACCTTTTTCTTCCCAACTTGACTTTAGTCAACTTTCTCTCTTTCTGCCTGATCACAAAATCAGCAGACAAGAAGTCCGTGCATAGTTTCACTTCTATAAATCTATCCTAAACCCCAATATTATATCTGGGAAAGATGCTACCTCAACTTCCCACAGAGCTGATACAGCTAGTTCTTCGGAACTGCGACACATCAGCCTACTTCCAGGCAGCCTTTTCAAGCCGCAGACTTTATGAGATTGCTTCCACCAGCCGAGCAGTCATCCTTCATCAGTTACATAACACTCCTGGTTGGAACAACGGCATTGAAGCTTATCAGACTAGGCATCTGTTTGGTGTGTTAATGAAACGGTCTTATGAACAATTAGATGGCGCAGAACATTACGCCCACCCCACCTATGAGTACCAAAACCGAGTGATTGACTACCATGCATCAACAATTGAGGCATCAGAAGACAGCGTTCGAGCACTGCTTGTCTTCAAAGGCCACAGCACTGTCCATCTGGTTGAAATGAGCCATGGAGATCGGACCGAAGTGCAATTGAACTCCCCAGGGCAGGATATTGGGGAAGTCGAGATCATCCAGACTGCCTGCGATGGAAATGGCGGAGTCTACGTGCTGCACCGATTCAAACCATTCTTAGACCAAGAGCTGGATACAGACCACCCGTTCGTTAAACACGCTCTAGAATCTCGCCCCAACGGGAGCATTCACCTGGCCTACCATCGCTTGAATTCCCGGGAAAACACCATTCGAATGTATGACTTTCCCGAATGCCGAGATTATAGACCACTGGCTTTGTCCGTCTCCAACGGCAAATTTGCCATATCATGGCAAAACACGCTCGACCCCTATGATCATGACGTCGTTCTTTATACCCAGCTCTACGATGAAGAAGACGAGGAAGACGAAGAGGACGACAACGAAGATGAAGATGGTTCGTGTGAAGGCGTTATGGAAGAAGGCAAGGGAGATCCCTGTAAAATTATTCGTTCGTTTCATCATTCTGTCATATTGGGGCTGGTTTCTGACATCTCTAGATGCCGCTTTTGAGGCCTACGTTTTGACAAGCTCCAACGATCAAGACCCATATGCCCGTTTCTCTCGGAGAATAGGCCCTGCGATGAGGTTGGCTTTCAATGATCGAGGGTTTCAGTTGCTCTACCACTACCGAGCTCAAAACATTTACGGTGCCTTTCAGAGACTTGATCGCATCCCTGGCCCCCCAGGCGAGCCAAAGCCCCATGTTAATAAGAATGCATGCACCGTTCAGTTTTCGCCGTCCCTCTCGCTTCAATTCTCAATTGGAATACCATTCTTCGGTACCCATGAGTTCGGTGACATATCTCAGGGAGAACAGTGTCATTGGCAGTACCTCGCCTTCGGAATTGCCACTCACCGTGTTGAGAAATGGACTGTGGCATGCCTCCTGAAGTCCGAATCATATACTGGTCCGCGATGTACCCATGTTTTGAATCTCGACCGCGGAAGGCGTTTCGACGACTGGCAGATCATGGCGCAACTGGGGGGATTCCGGGAAGTGCCGACTTCGCATGGATCTCCGGTGGCAACGTCGCGTCGCGGAACTCGTGTTGCTGTCGTTAACTGGAAAACCCTATATGTCTGGGCGTTGAACCCCTCGGAATTGATCGAAGGCAATGGCACCGGCTTTTATCCATCATCGTGGGGATCTTCTACAGGTGTCATCGAGTTGCGACCAGTCATCTTCCGGTTAGAGGCCGTTTGCTCTCAATTGCGTTTCACTGAAAAGGAAAACGAGCTGGTTGCGATTACCGATCGTGGAGTGATGTTCCTGGATATCGGTTATAGTGGGAAAGACAAGCAGCCCGTCAAGAGCCAGGGGCATGACAATAGTATAACAAATTTGAGGAGCTAGAAGATCTGGAGCTCTACTAAACTTCTGTTGCTAAGAATGTGAAAGTCAGGCTGCTTAATACCAAAGATGCATCTATGGTTCTGAGCCTTCTTCAAAGCAGTGGATTGTAACTGAAAAGGAGCAATTCTTGAACCTCATCAAACCAGGACGCTGCCATTGTCTTATGCAAAACTAATAAGACCCGAAAAAATTAGCGCTGTCCATTTTTCCCTACCCTAAAGCAACCCGAAACACCAGACAATGCAGAAACACTAGCTGTATGGCATTGTACATAGATCAAAAGAAAACCATGGCCCTGAGAATAATGCAAGGCCAGGAAAGGGTATCCCAGGGTCGTCATCATAGCAAGAGAAAAACAAAAAAAAGGAAGAGAAGAGCCTAGTCCAAGGACTTGTTCTAGTTCATCTCAGAAGCGAGCCATTCAAGCACGCTCTCATAGCAGAGTGCGTATTGACTCAGGTTTTGTACCATGCTCGGTCTTTGTCTTCGGAAATCCTCAACCGTCTTTGCAATCAGGTCAAGATTGAAATCTCCCATCCACTCGGAAGATCCGCTGGGGTTTGGATCCAGGCCTCCACCACCGGCAGCCTGCGCACGTTGCCGTTTCAGCATGTCCAAGACACTGTCGACAGTGCAGAAGGTCCCCGTACGCCCACATCCCGCACTGCAATGCACCAGTACTGGCCGCTGTCCCTTCGGTTCTGCTTGCTGGCTACTAAAGCTGGGGTTGCTGGTGGCACAAATGACCTTGTTACATTGCTCAATCAGATGGAGAAGATGAGTAGGCTGTGACGTTGTCCCGAAATCGGGCCAGTAAGGATATTGGAGCTGGGTGATATCACGAAGTGGCTCGAAGGGGAATGACGTATGGCAGACACTGAAATTTCGCACGGTGATGACTGGATTTTCGTTTGTGCCATCAGGTCGTTCGATCGATGCCTTAGGGCTGCCAACCGAGAGATCGATAGGTCCACCCTTGGATTCGATATAGATGTGCTTTTCCGAATAGGCCTTTACCTCGAACGGTCCATATTTTCCAGACTCCCAGTATCGGTGGCATTTTATCTGTCCTCGCTCAACCTCTGCGGTGAGGGAAACGAGAAGTCTAACGTCTTGCTCCCATACCACGCGCCAAAAGTCCTGCATATCGTGAGTAACATAATATCAAGCATTGCGAGGGGCTGCCACTCACATCAAATGTATCAGGAACGGGAGCCTGAGTGGCGATGTATTTCCGATTGGTGAGTTCAGCGGAAATATGGTTTGCATTCACATAATCACAGGCCCCAGATGGAATCCCCTCGAGTCGGACACGGGAATGATCAAATGGGTAAATATCATTGTAACGATTTTTCGTGCCTTTTTCTATCCCCGCAACGCGATATTTCTTGGGGCTACCATTGGTGTCAGCCGAAGGTCCTTCATATGTTAAAGCCTGTTTCATGCGTTCCAACTCTGTTTTCTCCAAAACCAAGAACTTGTTCGAGATAATGTGCCCTTGGTCCTTGGTATCGGAAGCGCCCCGCAACCATGAAGGGAGTCGCTGTCGCTTCGCTTCGGTCAATTGATCGGGCTGTTTCAGAGGAATTTGTCCGACACCCCCGAGGAGATCCATGTTCTGTCGAATATTTCCAAAGAAGGGATTGACGGCAGAGGATGATTCTGGCAAGGCACAACCACCCACGACAGGTGCAACAGATTGCAGATTGATTCTCATCGGAGAGGGACGTTTAGAGGATGGGGCGGTCGTCCGCGTTTGTGGCTGCTGTATCAAACGTGGAAACCGACCCGAGAAACCTCGAAATCCGTTCTGTAAGATCAATCCATCTCCTTTCCAGTCTTCAGCCTGGAATTTATCGAGAAGGTTCAGAAGAGGTGCTGCATCCTTCAAATCCGCTGCAGCAGAATCGTACACAATGATCACGTCACTCTTTCTCCAACAAGCAAAACTCCGTTTGTTAGCGTCGTCTGTGAAAGTGCCCTCTAATTTCTGGGTATCAAATGATCGACGCTTGAGTAGGGTAGTGGGGATGCATAAATTGAGTGATCCTTTGATATTGGCTTGTCTGAAATGAGCGAATGGGCGAACATCAAAGAGCATGGTGTTTGACTGAGATGACTGAAGAAGTTCGGCGCAGCGTTCGGCTGATACCCAGGGAAATGAAGCGGGAGTGGCTCCTGAAGAAGCAGTGTTAGTATCTTGTATAATTTGTAGAAGATAGAGCATTGAACACATCGGGAGTCATAGGATCAAAAAAACAAATAGAAAATAAAGTACATCCAAGAGTGGTCATACCTTGTGGAGTGGGACCTAAATTCTTGCCGGCTGGAAGCCTCAGTTCGTTAGGTTGCGCAAATGAAAAGTTTCCCAGCGGATGTGGAGGTGAGGAATTTGGCCATGATGTCTGGGGAGAGGAAGATCCATGCAATGCTGATTCTCGGCGTATGCGACTGGTTTCAGTCTCGGTCTTCAGTAGATTCTTCAATCCCGCTGATACTGATTCTTGGGAAAACATTGGTAGTTTTGGACTCGGCAGAGGTTGTGTATGGGGCAATGTACCCCAGTTCTTTTGGATAGACAGCCCTGGGTGGTTGGAGGTCTGTTGATTGTTGGGGTTTTGCACAGTCATGCCAAAATAATTGGGAGTTGATCTTTCTGTGAAAGCCGCGCCAGACATCATGCCCGTGGTCGACGGGGATAAGGTAGACTGGAAGGACTGCGTGACACCACCATCATTATGACCACCTTGAGCACTTTGTACCCAAGGTGAGGAGGGTGAGCGTCCTGGGCCTGTCATGACAGGCAGGTTGGCTTCCACAACTCCAGTTCCTGGTCTGTCGAAACACGGTCAGCTCAAAACTCCCCTGGCAATGACACCCGCAGTTGTGTATCAGATAATTACAAGCGGATTCTCAAAGATCAGACTAACATGTGCTCCCAAGCTCTCGGACCAAGATATCAAGGTCTTCGAAGACCTAGGACCGTGGCAGAATCGCTGGTCATCAACGGCATCCAATACGCAAAAGTGAAAACCGATGTTGCCGCTCAAATAAGAGTGAAGGGAAACCGTAACCAAAACTTCGACCTCGAGGTATACGCAACTGACGTAGCGAGAGACAAAGAGGGGCAAGAAGAAGCGAATAGACCGGGGTCCAGCCCAAGGGGAAAACCGGTGGCCAATGGAACGAAAAATGCCAAATAGTGGGGGATGAACAGGTCTGATATCAGAGAGAGGGCATCTGTGTTATTGCATGATTAATAATCGGCTCGAACTACCTAGGTAGCCCTTGAGTTGAGAAAAAAATGGGTGAAGAAGAAAATTGGGGGCTTCGAGAGCAAAAAGTTATGACGTTGTTGTGTGGGGGATCACGGGTTCACCTCCAAGTTCTGACGTAGTTGGTGGATTGGTAGATATTTTTGTAGAACGAATTTGTTTATATATAGAGAGAGAGTGTGTGTATATGTATGTAGATATATATCCAAAACAATAGATATATTGTATACGTGGATATATACAAGGATACATAGAAGCATTAAAACACTACAGAGAAACCATCTGGAAGCTCGATTCATGTGGATCAAAATTGATCAATATATATATCGGTGTATCAATATTGAATTATGTTTGGCTTGTCTTCAGCTTGATCAACCTTATATTAACAAACACCTCATCTCAGTTCCTGGTTAGTCGCGAGTCTCCAAGGGACCAACCCTGGAGTGGTTCCACCCGTGCAGCTTTCACATCAATATGACAAGCGAAAAGATGATGCGACAGAGTCGAGAGGGACAGAAATGGTTCTTTCCCCAATTTCACAATCAATGGCCCAGCATATAGGATCTGGGAACCGAAAGTATGCATTGTATGTTGTAGACAACTTTCGAGAGGCTGAGAAAGTGAGCGAGGCCGATGCCAATGGCCACCTACATAAGTAGGGATATTGGTGCATAGCATACGATGCGAGGGCCAGCCAGATAGTTGGCTGCCCTCTCCGATCTCCTCCTTCATCTCCACACAGCAATGTACGGTAATGTACCCCTACCAATGAGCTCATACGCTAGGTGAGGTCACGAGGGAAACGCGTTCCCGTCGCGTTCGATAAAGCGAGAGTACTTGGGTGTTTGAATTCAAAGTGTTACAGCCTTCCATCCGGTTCACCTTTGAATCGCTCTACCCGCTTCTGTTCCCATTGGTCGAGATCTTTGGCCATGAGTCTCTGTAAGCGTGGACAATAATCAGCATTCAGTTCAAATGTCAGGCAATGAAATCAGGATCAATCAAAAGAATGCATACGTAGTATTCTTCTTTTTCGTCGCCTATAATCCTCCTCCGCGGGTTGCGTTTGATTCCCTCCTCCCCGTCAGGACCCTTGAGTCCGAGGTCAAATGCTTCGTCTTGACTGAGCTGCTTGACTTTGCGGTCATACCGCTCATACCGTAAGGCAGCGGCAGGTGTCAAGGCAAATGACCCAGCTACAATAACGGCCATAAATGGGAGTCCGAAGAGAATAAAAGGGTGTCGAGCCAGTCGCGCCCGGTAGAATGCACCGAGCCGTTCACCGAGGGACGATGATTCCGTAGCCGCCCGACGAAAGGTTTTGGATTGGAAAACAGGCATACTTGCGAGCCAATCTATTGAACGCTATTGTTGGGCGAAGGACTGAATGAGGTTCATTGGGTTCAATGGGTCATTGAGATATAAGGGAACAATAGGATTTCGGTCAATCGGTCAATAGATGATCCGGGTTGAATTGTTTAGACGGAGCTTCCTAGACAGCATCTTCAATTGCCTATTGACATCTTTTGACACTTAATCGCTGAGCTACTTTTTATCGGTATAAAACAGAGCTTTGCTGAAGCCCCGTCCTTTGCTATCCGAACTCCGAGAAAATCCACTACTTGTCGTGGTCATTCTTTGTCTTTACAGAGCTCTAGGTGTGCGCAGTCCAGTTTTCTTGCCCTTTGATCGGCATCTTTTTGCTTAGTCTTCAGCTCAAAGTGAACTAATTCGAAGAATAGTTTCACCGCAATCGTATTTTGCATTCCTTTTACTCAAAGCCTTCGAACCGACCAGCCCTCCATGGCTTCCAACACTAGCTCTCTCTTCGGAGGGGTTGGTCTTGGTGCCTCGACAGCCCCACAGTCGAACAGCCTCTTTGGCGCGAACAATTCGATGGCAAGTCCTTTCGCAAATTTTTCCGCTGCAGGGGCACAAGGCGCGCAAACATCGTCTCTGTTCGGAGGTCAATCTCAAGCCCAGCAACAGCCTGCTCAAGCCCCGACCTTGGGCCAGACGCAACAAACTAGCAACACGCAGACCCAGGGACAACCTGCGGGTCAGTCAACACAGCCTGCATTTTTCAACAGCCTATTGGAGCGTGGGAAAAAGCGACCATTGTCATCGGTCATTCAAAACAACAACTTCGAAGACCTGCCTAGTCTCCAGTTAGGCCTAGATGACATTCGAAGGAAGGCGCGAGAGCTAGGCTCCGCAGGACAAAAGGATAGCCCAAACGACAAGAACAGCAAAGCGTGAGTTTCATCTCTATCTATCATCTGTCACACTTGTCTTGTTATTGACCTTGGCTAACCTTGCGATACTATCAATAGTCATTATCTTCTTGCAGCTTCGGGCATATCCCCGGGACAAGCATTGCGTGACCTCAAGTCCATGGACCCCCAAGCATCTCTAGCAACCCCAGCCAGGGAACTGGATCACTTTGACCCAGACAACCAAAGGTTTTTGCGGAATATCCAGCAACGTGGCCGACAAGTCATGATCGCAGAGGGTCTCACCAGAGCTCAGCGGGACTTTGATGCTTTTCTGGAGGAGAAGGTGGACATGGACTGGGAAGACCAACGTCAAAAAATATTCCACCACTTCGGGCTATCCCAGAAGGATGCCACCGGCGCTGGAGGAATGAAATCTACTACCAGGGGTGCCTTTGGACGGTCAGCAAGACAGTCTAAGCAAACCGGAGCTGTTCCAGCCAACGGACCTTCACCTGCATCCCGCAGAAGCGTATTCGGGCGTTCCGGTCTCGAGAAGTCGGTGATTGGCACACCTGGGGCCGGCTTGGCAAGCCGTCAAATATTTGAAGACCCAGCAGAGCGAACTGAAGGAACTGCGGCTCACTCGCCTGATCTCAGGTTCCAACGGGAGAAGATGGGACACTACGCGGAGAAGGTTCAACAGTTGAACTTCGCCAGGCTTCAAGGAAAATGCTATCCCATACTCGACGAGTTTTCATATGTCGAAGTCCAAGCCGGTGGTGATGTAAGTTTCAAAACCTCCGCAACACAGATGTTCGTCCAGCTAATCATTCTTCAGGCACCTCGCCAACTCTTCAACGCATATCAAGCCTTGATAAGGATTGTCCACGAGAAGCCAAACATCATGAATCCATCGGAGCCCGGAGCAGTGAAGGAGCGACAGTATGCGGAAGATTACCTTGAAGAATCATCCAAATCTCTCAAAGCAATCAGACTCAAGAAACAGATTCTTGAAGGCTCCAGGGGTTTCCTCGAGAGCACATTCTTCGACGAAGTGGAAGCCGCCATTGCCAAAAACCCCCGGGAAGCACAATTGGGAGGAATTCCAACTGTAATCAACAAGATTCGCGCCTATATCCGTCTTCAAGCCGCGCGGAAGGATCTGGCCCCTGACGGCACCGAGCTCCAAATGGTGAACCAGGACTACTGCTGGATTCTCATCTTCTACCTCCTTCGATGTGGTTTCGTGACTGAGGCAGCTGAATACGTGAGTCGGGACAGCGGGTTCCGGTCTTTAGATCACAAATTTGTGACCTACATGACAACCTACGCGCAGAGCAGGAGACTTCCCCGGGACTTGCAGCAAAAAATCAACGGCGAGTTCCAGCAACGCTCACGGAACGCACCTGAAAATACAGTCGATCCTTACCGAATGGCATGCTACAAGATCATTGGCCGCTGTGATCTCTCGCGTCGTCGCTTGGATGGTGTGAAGCAGACCGTCGAGGACTGGATGTGGCTACAATTCACCCTTGCAAGGGAGGACGATCGCGCCGAAGAGGTTGCAGGTGATGTCTTCGGCTTGGAGGATATCCAGACCGACATCCAGGAGATTGGCCAAAGAGTCTTCGTCAAGGGCAACGAGGGACCCGGTGGATATGGAACTTACTTCCTGCTGCAGATATTGGGAGGAATGTTTGAGCAGGCTGTACATTATCTCGGCACCTATGCCCCAGTCACTGCCGTTCATTTCGCCATCGCCCTGTCCTATTATGGCCTTTTGCGCGTGTCCGACTTTTACACCTCTGGCGAAGAAATTCGTAAGCTTATCTTCTGCCATGGTATTCTGATCTTGCTAACCTTAAATGTTCTCACTTTACGCAGTCTCCTTCACAGTCAAGCAATATCCCCAGATCAATTTCGGATATCTCTTGACCCAATACACCCGAGAATTCCGCACTGGATTTGTTGAAGCTGCCATCGATTACTTCACGCTGATCTGCCTCAATGCAGATCTTCCAGGTGCTCTGGGCAAGTCCCAAGCGTCAGTCTGCCATGAGGCCTTACGAGAATTCATCCTAGAAACAAGGGACTTTGCCAAATTACTTGGCGATATTCGGGCGGATGGTACTCGCCTCAAGGGAGCCATTGAGCAACGTCTCGATTTGATCAAATTGGTTGACCAGCAAGAATTCTTGAAGACTATTACGGTTCAAGCTGCTGCTGTGGCGGATGATAAGGGATTGATTGCGGATGCCGTGCTTCTGTACCACTTGGCAGAGAACTATGACCGTGTCATCGACATCATCAACCGTGCATTGTCAGATGCGATCGCAGTTGAGCTAGGCGGTGCCATGCCGAAACTGCAGCCCCTGCGCCCAAGGGTCGACCAAAGTCAAGATAGTCAGCAAGAGGCAGTGGAGGCCGGAAGCAGCCTCAGTTTGACTGCCGTGGATGACCCAGGCGTGCTTGCCAAGAACATGATCAGTCTCTACGATTCGGACATAATGTATTATGGACAAATCCGACAAGTCAACCGCGATGCCTGTGGGTTGCTGCTGCGTATGATGGAAGCAAAGACACAGGTTGAAGCCGGCAGATGGGCGCCAGCTCTTGATGTAAGTGTCTCCAGCCCATGGTTTTATTTCATGATTGAATTACTAACGAACGTAACAGGCTATCAACGCTTTGAATATTCTCCCCTTGCAAGCGCAGGGCTCCGTGTCATACATTCGAAGCACAGCCCAAGCTTTCTCGTCTTTGCCACCCATCATCTCACGCAACGTCGGGCCTGTCATCATGTGGAGCATCACATGTATTGGCTGTGAACGCCAAAAGCGTACTTTCGGGATGTACGACAGTGAAGTGCGCCAGGGATTGGCGGATACTTTGCTTGTCATGGCCAAGGATCTCATGGTCTTCTCGGGAATGGTCAAGTACAAGTTGCCGCCACGAGTCTATGAGACTCTGGCTCGTGCTGGGGCGGATATCGGGGCATATTAGATGTGATTTGAGATTCTGAGATACTGAGATACTTTTTTTGTGCTTGATGGTCTCTGATAATACAATCGAAGAGAATGCAATGATCAATCTTCCTAATTAATTTGATTTCTATACCGAATGTAGTGTAATCTGTGGACTATGTTCCCCTGGTAGATAGTAGCTCCGGGGGTTTTGCTTCTACATACATACCTACATCCATGTACTTGTAGGTACGTATGTACATGTATGTATGCAAGTACATGGATGTAGGTATGTGTACCCGTGGACCTCAGAACGTCGGTAACATGACCGGGCCACCATGCTTCCGCCCCACTAAACTCTTCCCAAGGCTCCTTCTCCGAGACTCTGCTCCGGTACCGTATACCTTCGTCTATCTGGGGCTACTCCCCAGTGAAATGGCCATTTCATCGCCATAGGTGGGAATACGGAGCTATACCTGTATTCTGCCACACTTCCCCAGCATGGACCATGCCTCCAACGCGTCCGTGTCGAGCTCAGAGCCTTCTGGCAGCGTGGCATCCCCGCACAATGGAGTTTCTGTGCAGGCAAAAGACTCGGAAACAGAAGAGATCGAACGGGCCTGCGATACACGAGGCGCGATGAACAAAGACTTGCCCGAAACCACAAACCCGATCAATTTATCCGGTGCCCTTGATAAACAAACATTACACGGTGACGAGAACGACTCAACGCAGCGCAAAGCGACCATTGGAGACGACCACAGCAGCAGCGCATCGACGAGCCGAGGCGCAAAGGCTACCCCGAGCCTTTTCAACAATCCACCGAACCTAGCGCGCATACGCAAGGTCCTATTCGAGTGCAAGGACCCGATAGAAATCAGTCTCGAAGAGTTTGAAACATACTGGCCTTTTATTGACAATGTATGGGTCAAACAAAGATCAAACGCGAGCAAAGAGGGTCATTGCACCACCGACTATTACATGTGCCGTTTGCGGCGTCCAACACACCGCACATCTGAAACTCGCCCCTTACCAGAGGGCAAACGCCCTCGTAAAAAAAGAGTCCGAGAAGGAGGCATCTGTAATTTTCAAATCAAGGTTGTTCGGTTCGAAGGCGCATACTCGACCGTCACTATCGCGAGAACGCCGGGAAGTTGCAGCATCCACTCACATGACCTCGACTACATCGACCGAGTGAAGCGGAATTCCGGATTAATGGAGTATGCGCGCAAAGAATCTGTGAAGGGATATCTCCCTTCTTCCATCTATACCAAATTCCAAGAAGAACCAGATAAGCTTGGGGAGGCTGGAGGACGGTTCTTCACTGTGACGGATGTCCGCAACATCTCCGCCAAGTGGCGTATACAAAACCCAGAGGTGGATCTAGTTGCACATGAGGGCTACGAATACCAAAAGGGCCATGGTATTGTTAAAACTCAAAGCACCGATGGTGTCAACGAGGTGTCCTCTCAAACAAAACCAACCTCGATGTCGTCAGCTTTGCCCCCGGACACACTATCATTCCCTCAATTTTCCCTAGACTTCTTACATCCTTATCTTCCAAATCAGTCGGAGCGCCGGGAATTTCCCCATGTCACATTGTCATACGCATCGTCAATGGACTCCAAGATCTCTCTTCAACCGGGAATGCAGACTGTATTGTCTGGACCAGAGGCCAAATTGATGACACATTATCTTCGCTCCCGGCACGATGCCATTCTTGTTGGAGTAGGCACTGTTCTTGCAGATAATCCAGGCCTGAACTGCCGCCTGGAAGGGGCCGGTGGGTTTGGAGGCCTGGGAAGAATGTGGCAACCACGGCCAGTGATCATTGATCCTATGGGCCGGTGGCCTGTTAATCCTGAATGCCGGATGTTGCGTACTGCCGTTGAAGGCAAAGGCAAAGCTCCATGGGTTGTGTTATCCCCGGGAGCTCAAATCAACCCCCAGACACTAGTGATGCTCAAAGGCTACGGTGGAGATTTTCTCCGCATTGTAGAATACAATCAACACTGGCGATTACGATGGGAAGCCGTCTTTCGTGCCTTGGCATCGGAGGGCATTAAAAGTGTCATGATTGAGGGCGGTGGTACTGTCCTAAGTGAATTGTTGAATCCAGAGTATACAAGCTTCATTGACTCGATTATTGTGACGGTTGCTCCCACCTACCTTGGCCGTGGTGGAGTGAATGTCAGCCCTGACTCGAAACAAGATCAGGAGGGTACACCCAATGCTGCATTGAATCCTCGAGATGTTAAATGGATGCCATTGGGACAAAATGTGATTATGTGTGGAAAGATTCGAGAAGAACCCCATTGATGGTCTATTGTCTCTAATGAGGGATACTTATATAAATTCAAATAAACAATAAAAGAAACATATTCACGTGTTTTTACGCGTAATATCAATAGGTATCAATAAATATGAATGAAGATCAATGAATACGAATGAATATGAAAGAATCAGCCCATTGAGGTGGCTGGGGAGAGAATGTCCGGTGTTCCAGGGCTATTGTTTTGGCTTATGTTTTGGCTTGGCACTTTTTTTTTCTCTACCCTTTACATACTTTTCCCTTTTATTCTTTTAACCTTAGCTTCAAACATTCCTCCCCCCCCACCCCCTGTTCTTTCTCATTCTTTGCTATTTCTAATAGCTAAGTCTAAGACAGAATGCCTCCTAAGAAGAACACGTCTAAGTCCGTCGAGGCCTCGACGGAGACGGTAAAGAGAAGTACTCGAGTACGCACCAGCGCCAGACAAGCTACCGTGACGAAGACCGAAAAACCTGTGAAAGAATCTACGAAGCCAACTGCAAAGTCCATTGGAAAGTCAACTGCGAAGTCCGCTACAAAGTCCACCGCGAAACCGACTGCAACATCTACCAAGTCAACTGCGAAGCCAAGCAAAATGCCAACGTCTACAAAGTCCACTACTACGAAGAAGCGCAAAGCTGATGAGGATGGGGAGAAACCTCGCGAAATCAAAAGATCTCGTGTCGCGCAACCCCGTCAGCCAAAGCCGAAAGCCAAAATTGTGATCAACGAAGCCCCGAAAGCTAAGCTGAACGTGTTTGTCTGTGGTGAGGGTAGCTCTGGTGAGCTGGGCTTGGGCACAGCCAAGAACGTTATCGATGTGAAGCGCCCACGTTTAAACAAGCTTCTGTCTGCCGAAGAGGTCGGAGTCGTACAGGTTGCTGTCGGCGGCATGCACTGTCTAGCTCTAACCCATGACAACAAGATATTTTCCTGGGGTGTGAACGACCAGGGCGCGCTCGGAAGAGAAACTGAATGGGAGGGTGGATACAAGGACATTGAAAACGACAGCGATTCCGACTCAGACGATGAAGACAGCGGATTGAACCCTCGGGAGTCTATTCCTACTGCCATTCCTGCCACCGCATTCCCCGAAGGCACTGTCTTCGTTGAAGTGGCCGCTGCCGATAGCGCAAGCTTTGTCCTGACCGATGATGGTCTGGTCTATGGCTGGGGCACCTTCCGAGTAAGACGATCTGACTATCTTGGATCGGATTTCTTTTACTAACAACGATTCTAGAGCAACGACGGAATCCTCGGATTCGACGCGTCTTCTCACGTTCAACGGACGCCAACTTTGATCCCATCTTTGAAGAAGATCACACACCTGACTTGCGGAGCCAATCACGTTCTCGCCCTGAACGACCAAGGTCGCGTCTACTCGTGGGGCTCAGGACAACAAAACCAGCTCGGTCGCAGGATCGTGGAGCGCAACAGATTGAATGGTCTTCAGCCTCGGGAGTTCGGTCTCCCCAAGAACATTGCCCACATCGGGAGTGGTTCGTACCACTCGTTTGCTGTTCACACCACTGGCAATGTCTATGCCTGGGGATTGAATAGCTTCGGTGCAACGGCCCTCCGCGAAGGCGCCGGCGACGACGAAGCAGCTATCGTGCATCCCACCCTTGTCGAATCACTTTCTAACAGAAATATCTCCCAAATCTGCGGCGGCGCTCATCACTCGGTTGCCATTGCTGGCGATGGTGAATGCTTGGTTTGGGGCCGTCTCGACGGTTTCCAAAGCGGCCTGAAGATCGATACACTTTCCGATGACGCCGTTATCAAGGATGAGCGCGATCGACCCCGTATCCTAATCTCCCCTACCCCCGTTCCTGCCATCAAGGCCAAGGTTGTGGCGGCTGCCTCGGATCATTCCCTCGCCATTGATGCCGATGGCCGTGCATGGTCATGGGGCTTTTCCGCTACGTACCAAACTGGACAAGGTACACAGGATGACATCGAGGTGGCTACCGTTATTGACAATACTGCTACTCGTGGAAAGAAATTGAACTGGGCGGGTGCTGGTGGTCAGTTCTCTGTGTTCACAGAGCCTGCCAGCATGTAAGGTCAATACATTCGATTGACCTATCCTTTATTGTAACCTCTAATGTTTCCGTTTCCCTTCTACGTGTTGTCTCGTTTCCAGGGCAGTACATGGAGAGTTGCTTTGCAATTTCCAGTTGTTCTACTCGGTTAGCATGTCATTTGAAATTGATTCTTTTTCTCCGATGTGATCCCAAGGTGTTATTCCTAGTAATTCTAGTTTTAGACTCATTCGGCGTCCGATTGTTCAATCCGTACCTAGGTAGCTGAGCCATACATGGCCTGTTTGATTTGATTAAACAGGTATGTATGGTCAGCCAGGAACCAGCAGTCTTATCCCGGGTTTAAACATATTTCATTCTGTCATTAAAATTTATCGTACAGGATGCCTTCACAACTACATCCCAAGCTCCTTCATCACTTCATATTCAGCATCATAGTCGTCGTTATCGTCACCTGGTACCTGTGCAGACGAGGCACGCATGTTGGGGGGGGAATCAGTCATTGGCTCATCCTGTTCTCTGAGAAGATCCTCCAAATCATCGTCGTCCTCGGGCCCAGGCTCGGGGTAGCTGATCGTAGCCCGCGCGCTCTCATTTGGGTCTGGAATAAACAGGTCTTGGTCGGCAATCCCTTCCTTGTCCTGACTACCCGCGGCTGGGCTATGGTTGGAATCTGCATGGTTCTCAGGGACGTGGCGACCTTCGAGCTCCTCTCGCGTGGGTCCAGAGCTATCGAAAAGTCTCGGTTTCTCCTCGTTTATCCATTCTCTTCGCATGGCCTGAATGCGTTTTGAGTGTCCCAGTTTCTCAATCATTGTCAGACCGTCTGCGAATTTGGCGCGTGGAAATAGATCATCGAGCCATAGCTGGTAAAAGTTGAGCAGACGTGCGGCGTCCTTGAACTACAGCGAACTCAAGTCAGTTACACTAGCCATGCTTGGTATGTCCAATAGATACAAAACAACGAACCTCGTGTCCCTTGCCCTTGAATTTCAGCTTCTGTCTAGCAGTACGTCGCAATTTGGGTATGCCCGGTTGCGAGAGTAGACTAGCCTGTTCGTCAGCATTGTTGCAGCCACAAGTGCGCTCCCAAACCAAAAAGAACACGAGGTTTGAATCAAGAAAAAAGGCAGCATGTGAGACTCACCGGTGCTCATCTAATTTGGCGATAGGTTGTCGTTTCTTTGCGACTTTGACTTCTTCGTCGAGACCCAAACCAAGTGCAGAATCACCTGTCCCGGAGGCCTTGGTGCTGTTGGTATTTGGTACATTGTTATCCGGAATAACCTCATCCAAGCCGATATCATAATCAAAAAGGTCGTTCAAATCACCCGCTGTCGGTGAGCTTCCTCGCTCTGAAACGTTCGCGTTCGCCATAGTTTCAATCGCGCGCAGATACTGCTGTAGGTGCAACTATCAGAGCATGGATTTGAGAGCATCAGATGACTGGAGGGTTAATCAAAAAAAGAAAAGTGACACCTGCTTTGCAGCAATTCAATTTCCATACTCTGTATGAGAGATACGAAATGTCAATCAATCAGATGCGGCCTTGACGCGTGACGCGAGTAGCCCGTTATCTGCGCTCTAATTGGCTGCCGGGCATCTTGTCCGCCTTAGTTATGCTAGGCCTAATGAGGTTAGCTTCGGTCTCCTCTCCCTCCAACTCCCAGAACTTCAACCTCGAATGCTTGCACATCCACACTTCAACGACATGGCGACCGACACCAAAACAGCCATTGTGCCCTCTAAGCGGGCTAATACTGACTACCCGGTATGATTGATCTAATCTGAACCGGGGCTACTACTTTTCCGTCCTCGATTGCTCGCTTGCGTACATCTTTTGCTAACATCCCACAGTTGATCGATTCCGACCCGTACGATTTACCCCGGATTCTAAGACTTTGTCACAGGCTCACATCTTTTTCAGGCATTTGAAACGGGTGTTCGGATATGCCCGGCCTTCCGACTGGGCCGTGGCTGGCGGTATGGCCTCGGCTGCTCCCATCTCCTTCTGGATCATGGAGAGAGCAAGCCCGTCGCATGTAGGCCGTGGTGGCTTCGCTCCCGTTATGCGACTCGCGACAGCTGTAGGTCTGCTTGGTGGTCTTCATGTCCTGTATCAGCGATCCTGCCGTAAGCCATGTCCCTCCCTCCCGCTTTTTACTTTGGATAACGCCTCAGCTCACACCTTCACAGAGCGCTTTTATGGCTTCACTGAGAATGCTAGAGAGGTCGAAATGGATACTCGTGAGATGGTCGACAAGGTCAAGAAGGGCGAGCCTCTGTACGGTAAATCCCAAATGTCGTCTTATCTACAAGGCGTGGCAGCCCGCAACTCGCGGTACTCAGAACTTTTCATCCATGTTGTCCCATGGTTCAACTTTGTCAACCATGATCAGGTAAGTCCTCCATTCATGTCGATCTGAGAAGGATGATGTTGATTGTTTTTGTATCAGCATGGCGTGGACACTGCCAAATACTACCAGCAGGCCGAGCAGGAATTGGAGGCAGAGCGCACTGGCTCTTCATGAATATACACCATCAGCTACAAAGAAAAAAAGAATGATGGGCAGTCTTTCCGTTCAGTGTTGCAGATTTGTACACATATTCGATCTTGTGTGTGTTTTTGGGGGCGCAATTGATATTCACAATACAGATTCCCGTTCTGATCAACCTTGACGCTTTTCATATTTATATGGAGATGCCCTTTGGAACTAATGATTCCCCAGTTGTATCAAAAGTAGACTCAACCTACCCCGGAATGTATTGCGTAGTAAAATTATGTCTGGAGACCCCCCGGATCCGAGCCTTGCGGCCTACCAGGTTGTTGGCGCTTCTTCGTTGTCATTTTCGAATCTGGTGTTCAACTCTCGATTCTTTTTCGGTCTGGGGTTAGGAGCTGACATATCATCAGCAGGTAATCAAGGCTGGGGTTTGTGCGTCCTAATTCCTACCTTTTTCGTTCTCCTGTATATAGAAACGACGGAGCAACATGATTGCTTCTTTCTCAAACAGGCCACCGTAGACAGGGTATGATGGGTCAATTGAGGAGCTGGATCCGATTAGCCTTGCACGATCAGTCGACGGACTTTAGAGGCGTACTGACTCGGAATGTAATGAAAGAACACCTCCAGTACCTCCAAATCGATCGTTGGCGCACCCGAAGTACACGCTGCGGATGCGGTACTGCTTCAGGGCGGAAGCACACATCACACAGGGTTCAACCGTAACGTAAAGATCGGTGGATTGCAATGCCGACCTAGGATAGCTTTGGAGCATCTCTGCAATCGCTATGAACTCGGCATGTCTCGTTCCCTGGGGGATGGTCAGCGGTTTCTATGCATTGAGATCCTTAGAAGTCACCAACATTCATAGATCTGTTTGTGTCGTTCATGCCTAACCCCACAATTTCATCCTTGTGCACTAGAACACAGCCAACGGGAGTTTCACCTGACTGGAGAGCCTTCTCGCCCTGTGGTCTGAATGAGCATGTTTCGATTCCCGGGCATCAACAAGTTTCGTACCATCAACAAGGCTTGTTTCATGAAATATCCATGTCTCGAATCCTCCGCCACAACGGCGTCACCCTTGAACTCCATGGCTAATTGGAAATTTCTCTTATCTGTGTATGTTAGACTTAATCGACTTGACCCCAGTGACTGGTAAGATATCTCATGGCCATGAATCAAGTGGAATCGGAGGAGGGTAGAGAGCAGTGGCACCCGAAATTTCAAGGTGAGGTTGACCGAGTTAAAGCTGGGCCACAATCCAGTCCAACATGATACGATAAACATTTACATCTATGGACACTGGGGTTTCTCTTGAATCACTTATTTCTCTTGGACATAGCCTGCCTCGATTTTGAAATTTTCCATTTTATTTTCTGTAGGTTCTATATTTCCTACACATATGTGAGTTTTGAATTCATTACACTGCATATACAGAGGACCTCCCCATAAATTACCATGAACCCCTCTACTTGTCTTGATAGATATGAGGCCAACTTATAGAATTATAAACCGTGATTCAATGATCATCAGCTCTGGTATTATCCAGAATGTATGCGCTCATGCAGTGGTGGATACTTGGTGCCTTAGGTGTCAATCGATATATCAACTTTCTCCGCGTATCTGCGCACTTCAAACATCCACACGAACACAACCTGGCCTCGGAGCTTGCTTAAACGCGAGGAGTTTAATTTTCAAACCTGGTACTATGAACATGTGTTTCCCATATGGCAATCGAGGGAGAGAATGAACGGGCCCCTGCGCCTGGGAACGCTTGGAGAGCTGAACCTACCTCGTCGATCCTTGCTTCACGTTTCGTACCGCATCTTGCAACCCAGGGAAATGAATCACACTTAAACCGGGAGACATTTGCACAGCTTCGCCAGGAACTTCTCAGTGAAATACAAAGTCAACTACGCGTTGACGAAGATGTCACTGATGTCAACAAACTCATATGCATTGTGTTAAAGGCCGGCTTAGAGATTAGCCCGAACGGGAGCGCATCAGAGCAAGATCTGGAAGGGCAAGTCCTTGACTGCTTAGATATCATTCAGGCCAGCATCGAGAAAGCGCCACAAGCTCTATGGGAATCCTCTGATCCCCTCATCCTGGGCGAGGACATACATGCTCCTCTATTCGCATGGCTCATCCTACGACTGATCCGACTCGCCACCACCTGGACCTCCGAAACTGTTCGAGAAAAGATCCAATTTCTTTGTGCCAGCTTAGCTTATTCCCAGTTCAAGCAAGCCCGTTCATTGCCTGCAAGCTATGCCGTCGCTGCATTTCTGCGTGCTTGCACGTCAGGTCCGTCTCTTGCCCCCGATGATGTAGAACCTTGGGCCAAATTAACACTCCCTAGATATTCTGTGCTCCCTGGAAACATTCCAACGGAGCAATTCCTGGGATACACGCTTCAGAGGGTTGTCGATACCCGCAGCAAATGGATCGCTCATTGAGGACACCCAAAACCTAGGTCTCTCCCCTGGATTATTCAACAGCAACACGGCTCTTGGAGGCTTTGTGCAGACAGTCTCCCTAGTCTGTCGATTGCTTGATTCGTTCAATCCGAGGGGCGAAATGCAATCCCGTGCAAAACATCATGATCTCATTCTCCGCCAAAACTTCTCGTGGGTATTGAATGGCTTCCATCGTCTTAGGCAAGTCATTATCGAGTGGTTGCAAATAAAAGGAGCACAGCTCACCTCGGAAGATGCAATTGTGCCTTTGCAATACCTGACATATTTGCACCGATGCTGCGTACCAGAATCGACTTTGGCTGGGCTGCTCTCAAACATGAGCCTGACTTCTACTTGGTCCCAATGCTTGTGCGGCTTTCTGAGTCTTGAAAATATAGGAAAGTTGCCTTCTGTTCAGGTCATACTAAGTCGCTTCTTGTGCGATTTGGCAGAAACCGCAAAATCCTCTCAGCCTCTGATGCAGCAATTGAGGGAAACCCTGCTTCCAGTGCTGACCGAAGTCAAAGACGGAAATTCTAGCCTCCAGTCACCTGAGTCGTGTCTCTGGGTAAGCTTTCTCTCATATCTAGCATACGCCGGTTACCGAGCTAAAACCAGACTAGAGCCCTCTCCAGACCCTGCATGCCCAGCTTCTAGATACAGCACCGCCTTTGACAGTCTGCTCACCCAAACGGTCACCAGGGGATATCTATGAGGAGTCAGATACGGCATTTCAGAGAGCCGGGGTTTTACACCAAGTGGAGCCGAATGAATATGCCCGGGCATCGAAGCGGCTGTGTCTCCCAGGTCTACCAACAGGATCTACCAGTCATGGCCTGTTCCATTTGCTTGTGGGTGATATATCGGCGATCCTTCAATCTGGCTGTGGCAAAACGATGGCAGATCTACGCACCTCCATCCAGTGAGTGGACAACAGATACCTCTCAAGCTGTGAAATGCTGATTTATCTGTGTAAAAGATCATCCTACGAGGAACTCTCCGAATCTAAACAAACCGAGCTATTAGGCATCCTAGGCAAAATTTGCTGTGCAACAGCAGAGAAGCTTTTGAGGAAGGCCTCGGATGTCATAAAACGAGACACACTCTTTTGCCAAACATGCGACACCGATCAGTATCGGAATGATCGTGCGGGAAATGAGGAGCACCCCGAATTTGAGGAGATATGGTCACTATTCAATTTCATCCTACCCAGGCTTACACGCACGCCTGGTCCCCGGATATCTGCAATGGTCGCACTCAGAAGAGTTTTGATGCATGCTCCAAACTCCAATCAAATGCACATTTCAAACTCTGCATCCGGAGAATTCTGTCTTCACTCGCTCCGGAGCTCAATCAGAGAACTGCGTGTTGCAACTGGGTGTGTTTTACCGTCCTTAAAATCACACTTTGGCACTGGATACTAACTATTATATAGACATTCAGTAGTAGCTTTCGTGCGCTCAAATCTACCAACAGATATCCGTCGGGCTAATTTCGTCGTTGTGCTTGAGTGGCTTAAAAATCTTTCTGGAAAAGATGATATGCCGTTACAGGAAGCTTGCATCATAACACTCTGTGGGCTGGCAATGTGCGTTTCTATTCTCCGAAATCTTGTTGCTTTATCTCACGATTTGTTGTATATAGTGTCTCGGAAGATGAAGAGAAGAACATCATTCTCCTTCGGCTCTTGGAGTACCTCGGTCATCCAAACCCCTACGTTTGCGCCGTGGCTTACAACGAGGTGCGTAACCCTGGGATCATACCTCCGATTACTTCGCTCTTAATTTCTAGAGATATGGACACAGCTTAATTTTGAATTTAGTTATCCAAACTTGCCCAACAATTTTCCTTGACACCTGCTGGCCTTTTTCGGCCTTACTGGAGGACCCTTTCGGTGACCGTGGTCAAGAATCTCCAATCTCGCCCGTATATGGCCGAACAGCTATGTGATTTGCTTGGCATGAAGGTTGATGGTTTCCTACGTTTGACAGAAGTCCATGTCTTGCCCTACCTTGTTTTGACGCGAAAACGAGACATCATTTGCAGAATTGGAGCTAGTCGCAACGAAGGCGAGTCTGCTTTTGACGTTTGCTCGGAGAAGAATAACCTGGCCGCGATCCTTGCTTTCCTCCTATCTCAGCAGTCAGACAACCCCGAGGGTATGATCATGTCTCTTCTAGCGGAGATAGACCCCGCATTCAAGGGTCGGTCTTTGGCGGAGTTGGTGAGGATTGAGCCAATTCTGATTGCCTGTGACTTGCTGAAGAGCCTTGGTGATGCGGGTGAGCAAAAGAAAGAGAGGGTATGTCCTTGTTTCCTTCCACCTTTTCTGGACCATTAATGAGGAGACTCTTCAGTTCAACCAAGCGCTCCATCGATTAGCCATGTTTGTTCCGCGAAAGATTGCACACGGAAGTTCGTCGAAGAAGGCGGATCTAAGTCAGTTCGTCGAGGAGCACGTACTCGGTATTATCACACAATTCGCAAATGCTATTAACGACTTCCAAGTGAGACAGACATTGGCAGAGAAGAGAAGAAACATCAAAGCCATTGAAGAGATGATCA